CTTAATTGAACAAAACAACCCTTCTCTAAACCAACACCTTGGGGTGCCAAGATATCTCTTCTAAGTCGAGCAACAGTATCCGGTCATGTGACCTCTTTGTTCAATACTGTATATATATACACATATATATATCCATGTCAGTGTAAACTACCATATTTTTCAGAATATAAGATGCACCCTTATTTTGAAGACAAAGTTTTTTGAGGGAAAAAAAGCTACAGTCTCATTTGAAAGATTTTTATGGAACAAAAATTCAATTTGATACTTTAAAAATTAGCATATAGTGTTCTAAACACGAAAGAGCTCAAAACATCAAAATAAGAAAATACCATAAATCAAAAAAAGGTTTACTGTTATTTAGTTTGGTTCAAAACCTACAAAATCTTCATTGCTTTCACTATAATTTATTTTTTTATTATTTGAGGAGCATTACAAATAGTTATGTTTTAAAAGAAAAAGAAACTACTACTGTTATAAATAACACATTCAATTGAACTAAACTATGCATGCCTATTTAAATATATTTACACATGGCTTGCGTATATTGCATATATACATATATATTATTCATACCTTTGGTGTATAGGAAGAAAGCAGATTTTGATATCAAATTCTGGGGTAAAAAAATGCGTCTTATACTGAAAAATAAGGTACTTGTACCTGATGATGACAAAACCTTGTCGAAATGTTGTACATTTGCTGTTATGTTAAACTTGTATTAAAGTTTTTCTTCATTACCCATTAAAGCCGTCTCCAAGCATTATTAGTCTCAAGGTGGGTTCCTCGTCATCGAATTTGAATTCATCACGGCGATTAATCGAGGTTGTGTAAGTCTAAACGTTTATCTTTGTTATTCAATGTATAACTTTTTAAGTATGTTCTCTCACCTATCCACTACCATAAACCAATCATACCGTAAAACTATCTTTAAACTTCATAACCTGAATATAAAAATCATCAAAAGGAGAAACGATATTTCCTTCCTCAGACAGCGCCTAAATTTGTGAAGGTTAAGTTATCGAAAAACTTAAACCAGTTTTCAGGTATTATCCAAAACATGTAGAAACAACTCCTAAAAGCAACCCTGAATTCCAAATATC